CCCTTTCACAAAGGCCGAAAAACTTCAATATATATATATATATATATATATATATATTTATAATAATAATGAGATCTAACAGACAATTATGCCAAGGAATGTATAGGAGAAGTTATTATAACAAATGGAGTGTAAATAGGAAGAAAGAAAAGTGGGTGAAAACATAATCAGCCGTGAGCAGGAAGCAAACCTACGACCTTCGAATAACGCGTTCGATGCTCTTACCACTGAGCTATCACAGCGGCCTTCCCTCCACCCACTTTTTTTTATTTATATGTGAATTTAGAAGTGGGAGTGTCAGTCAGCGCCCTCTGTAGCCAAGCGGCGAATGTGAAACACTCTTTTATGAGCATGTGGCGTCACGTAGCACGTGATCTTATTACGAGTGGGCAGCTGACAGATAGTCCCTCGTATACAACACAATGACACTAAGTCTGCCAGTACGAGACCCTCGCTAATGAATAAGGGAAAGAAGTGTATACCTAAGGGCTCGTTTTTCCGCGTTTTGACACCATAATAATGAGACATAACAGAAAATAATGCCAAGGAATGTATAGGGGAAGTTATTAGAACAAATGGAATGTATATTCGAAGAAAGAAAAGTGGGTGAAAAGATAATTAGCCGTTAGCAGGAACGCTCCTGCGCACGGCTGGCTCCTGTTCACGGATGGTTATCTTTTCACCCACTTTTCTTTTTCTTATGTACATTCAATTTGTTCTAACAACTTCCCCTATACATTCCATGGCATTATTGTCTGTTAGATCTCACTGTTATTGTTTCAAAACACGGAAAAACGAGCTCTTAGGTCTACACTTCTTTCCTATATATATATATATATATATATATATATATATATATATATATATATATATATATATATATATATATATATATATATATGAAAGTAGATGCGCTTTCACATAACAACTGTTTATTGTGCCGACGTTTCGACAGGAACCCTGTCTTTTTCAAGGCATAATACTATTTACACATGTTCCGTGCCTTTTTATATCCTGTCGAGACAGGAGGGGAGGGGTCAAATGAGAAAGAGAGAGAGAAAAAAAAAGAAGGAAGAAACAGCGAAACGGGAGGACAAACAATAAATAAAATATAGAAAATCTAGGAGAAGAAGCAAGACCGACATGGCGTAATTAGAAAGGGGCGGCATTTCAACAGAGTAGGGCAGAGGTAGATGAGGAGTGTCATCATTGTCAACAATACCTTTCCCGCACCCACACTTCCCCAAGTGGGCAGGGAGCCGCCGTTTTTGTATTTCACCTTTCCGTGTAGTCCGCTGGCGGCTCGTTCCTCTTTGAAGTGTATGACAAGTTAATGGGGAGGGCTTAAGCGCTTTAAGTGCATGCTGGTGGCATCGGGAGTAGCGAAAAAGCCGGTGAATGAGGCACTGCCATCGATATTCGTTATATGCATTGGTTCCTTGTCAGTGAAGGAACAGAATGTGCGTAAAAGGATTAACGAAGGAAAAAAAAAGAAGAAGAACAGGGGGGGGGGGGGGGGAGACTGTACCACTCCGGGACAGTCACCACACAGTTAAGGCGCACTAGGAAGATATGCGCGCATGTAGGAAAAAGTTAACGAAACCACCTAGCTGTCAGCTTCTTGTCAGTGAAGGCAAAGAATGTGCGTTGAAGCTTGAAAAAAAAAAAAGGGGAGGGGGGGGGGACCGTACGACCTCCGGTCCCCCCCCCCCCGGTACGGAACACAAAAAAATCATTGTAACAACCCTAGAGAATCTCACACGTGAAGGCGCCATTAATTCAAAGCTTAAAAAGGCACTTATCACGGTACATTCGGCGCCTGGTCGTTTTTACATGCTGCCGAAGATTCATAAAGAAAATAACCCTGGCAGACCCATTATATCAGGCACGGGAACGTTAACGGAACCCATTTCCAGTTATATTGATTCTTTAATCAAAGACATACCACCCACACATGAGTCCTTCTTGCGTGACACAAACCACTTTCTTCGGGAAATAGCAGACGTGAAAATTCCAGACGGTGCATTTCTCGTAACATTGGATGTTAGCTCACTCTACACAAATATCCCACATGACGATGGTGTAAGGGCACTTGTTGAATCGTATGGCACACACAACCCTGTCGCTTATCCAAGCAAAAAAGTAATTGAAATCTTCACAAGACTTGTACTCGATTTGAACAGCTTTGAATTTAACAACCAGTACTATCTTCAAATCAGCGGTACGGCAATGGGTACAAGAATGGCCCCAAACTACGCTAACATATTCATGCACCACATAGAGTCCAATTTTCTTTCATCTTGTAATATCAAACCATTACTCTATAAACGGTACCTAGATGATATATTCATAATTTGGACACATTCGGAAAACGAGCTCCTCAAATTCATACAGGCTTTCAACCAGGTACACCCCAGCATTTATTTTACACACACCTACTCTAACACTGAAATAAACTTTCTTGATGTACTCATTCGAGTTGACGATGGTGCGTTGGTAACTAACGTATACAGAAAACCTACAGACAGGCAACAATACCTGCACTTCAAAAGCTGCCACCCGCGACATTGCAAGACCAGCATTCCCTATTCCCAAGCACACAGATTTCGACGAATTTGCTCCCGCACCGAGGACTTCCACAAAAACAGCACACATATGCGCGAAGTACTCCTTAATCAAGAATACCCGCCAGCTATCATCGATGACGCCATCAAAAAAGCTGAAAATCTGGACCGCCAGATTCTTCTCAACCACCAGAGAAACGCCGACCAACACCGCAGCAAAAACTTGCTATTAACTTTCACGAGCAACCCACCGAACATAAACAAGGTCCTAAGAAAACACTTCAACATATTGGAACAGAGCGTGCGACTATCCAAAATTTTCACTTCTCCTCCTTGTGTTGTATACAGAAGGCCGAAAAATATAAAGGATCATTTAATAAATTCAAAGATAGGTGTGAAATCTCAAATTGGGTGTCAACCTTGCGGAAAAAGCAGATGCAGGGTATGCAAACACATGCAGACAACGACAGTGGCGAAAAGCACCCACTCGGATTTTAAGCACATGATAAGAGGTGCACTAGACTGTGACTCCGACAACGTCATATACCTCCTGGAATGTGGGGTATGTAACAAGCAATACGTGGGCCAGACAGACACTCCGTTTAGAATTAGATTCAACAACCATCGGGCACATGTACGATCTCTGCCAGGCCTTCCACTTTCAAAACACTGCACATTAAAAGACCACAGCTTTGATGACATCAGGGTTACACTACTAGAAAACAAATTTCGAACAATCAGAGAACGGGAACAACGGGAATCTTATTTTATCTACAAATTTAACACGATAAAATACGGAATAAATGAACACCCAGGCACTCTGTCTGCGTTACGACAACTAAAAGACGCAAACGCTTCTCTCTAATCAGTCCGGTTTCATTACGACAATAATATTACCCGCTAACGAAGCTTTTGGCCTATGCATCTGACAACAAAGAAACGATTTGCCTCATCAAGCACAGCCGGAACGCACAGATAAGTGGTTCCGGAGGTCGTACGGTCCCCCCCCCCCCCTCCCTTTTTTTTTTTCAAGCTTCAACGCACATTCTTTGCCTTCACTGACAAGAAGCTGACAGCTAGGTGGTTTCGTTAACTTTTTCCTACATGCGCGCATATCTTCCTAGTGCGCCTTAACTGTGTGGTGACTGTGCCGGAGTGGTACAGTCTCTCCCCCCCCCCCTGTTCTTCTTCTTTTTTTTTTCCTTCGTTAATCCTTTTACGCACATTCTGTTCCTTCACTGACAAGGAACCAATGCATATAACGAATATCGATGGCAGTGCCTCATTCACCGGCTTTTTCGCTACTCCCGATGCCACCAGCATGCACTTAAAGCGCTTAAGCCCTCCCCATTAACTTGTCATACACTTCAAAGAGGAACGAGCCGCCAGCGGACTACACGGAAAGGTGAAATACAAAAACGGCGGCTCCCTGCCCACTTGGGGAAGTGTGGGTGCGGGAAAGGTATTGTTGACAATGATGACACTCCTCATCTACCTCTGCCCTACTCTGTTGAAATGCCGCCCCTTTCTAATTACGCCATGTCGGTCTTGCTTCTTCTCCTAGATTTTCTATATTTTATTTATTGTTTGTCCTCCCGTTTCGCTGTTTCTTCCTTCTTTTTTTTTTCTCTCTCTCTTTCTCATTTGACCCCTCCCCTCCTGTCTCGACAGGATATAAAAAGGCACGGAACATGTGTAAATAGTATTATGCCTTGAAAAAGACAGGGTTCCTGTCGAAACGTCGGCACAATAAACAGTTGTTATGTGAAAGCGCATCTACTTTCATATTTATAACCTTGCGGCAACCGAAGTTATTCTTCTATATATATATATATATATATATATATATACCGAAAAATGAAGGACGGCACGAAAACTTTTTATTTTTCCTAAGTTTCAGCCGGGGTCCGGCCTTCATCAGTAAAAACACGATACGAGTTTCCCTGGGAAACACATATTGTGTTTTCCATGATCTATTCATTTCTTGCTCTATCCCACGTTATAGAGGCGGTCACCAGAACTACTAAATGTAGGCAGCCAAATAGATAGATAGATAGATAGATAGATAGATAGATAGATAGATAGATAGATAGATAGATAGATAGATAGATAGATAGATAGATAGATAGATACAAAAGTGCTCGCTGTACGCAAAGTGTAGCCGCAGCGCATTTACTAAAGCCGAATATTATCTGAACACGCTTCACGTCGCGGCGGGCGAAGAGTGTCTACACCTAAATTATTTTTTTTACACCGTGTTCGTGAGATTCAAATGAACGCGTTGATGGCTTGGTCCTTGCGACGTAACTCGCTTTATTGCAGTCATACCACTTGAAACAAATCTGTGATTAATTTACAAGCTGCTAAATAATCATATGTCAAATTGATGCTTGAACACAGAGACCGGCCAGGTTAGATGCCGAGGAAAACACTCACACATATGCGCTGGGACTGATGGTCTCGCTGCTGCCTGGGCCAGTGGACTGGGCACCGTTGGAAAACCCCACCATGTTCACTGAAGTCATGGCCCTTGGGCCTCGTTTCCTCTCGCTGCTTTCCTCTTGTCACAGATGCACTGCGATACAAAAGCAGAAGCCATGCTATTAAGCATGGCAACGCCGGCAATGGACTGTTTTAGAATAGATCAGGTTACTAAGAGCCATACGCACAGGCACTCGCCTTCCAATGTCACCACCGCGCATGCAACAATAGGTGACCTTGTAATGAGTAAGCATGCTGACCGGTATTTTTGTGTAAGCTATGGATATTCTTGAGCCATCCTCAGCGGTACGCTGTACTGGTATTGTGAATATCTGCGCGTGCCTTACAGGAATTCTGGTTTTCAGAAGACATCATATTCGTACGAACTGACGGGTTCCTAACGCAAACACAACTAATGCACTCCTTGGTTCAATTGTTTCGAATCATTATATGAGTTATTTTTACACGGGAATCCCAAGCCACGGGGCACAGGCTTTTGCGTTCTTGGAACCAAAGTGCTGAGACGGAGGCATCGATGATTTTTATGCCGCGCTCTACGTACGAGATGCTAATAACCATATTCGTAGCTTACGCGGAATTGGGAATATCTGCGTTTCTACTTGTGATTATCACTGGAAAAGCTAGTGCGCAGTTGCATGTGTTGAACCACCATAATCTTTGTGTTTGTGCAGCATGGTGAGATGCACTGCAATAAATACACAACCTGCAGGGAGCCTCGCCAACAAGCATGGAAGCTTATTCGGCTCTCACGCTAAAAGCATGCTTATGTAAGAGGTAAAAAGCCTGTACTTGCGATGCGTAAAGAACAACAAGCAGAGCGTACCTTTGACAGCAGTGCGAGAGAAGGCAATTTGAAGTGGTTCCGTCGTGGAGCCCTGTAGCTGAGAAGGCAGTCTCTACGCACATCAGGTCCTGGCGGCAGGCGATCGCTAAGCGCGGAACCCTGTCCCGTGATGCACCCGACCCGCGTGGCGAGTTTTCTTCTTCTGCCTTTGCTTCGATTTCATTGAGGTAGAACATCTGCTTGTTCTTCAATAAATTACACCTACCCACTACGGGTTATAGGCCGAGAAGCCGGCGTTTCAAGAGAAACTCCGCTGTAGTTTAACCATATGCGGAACTGCGAGTTTCAATAGGCATTGACATATCATGTAACGAGTCCGGTAGCTGGATCTTCTTAAGAGACTCGTAAAAATTTTTAAGTAGCAGAAAGATAGACGTCAGACTTTGTCCAGGCGGCGCTGAGAGAAACACCGCCACCAGTGCCCACATTGCCGCGCTGGCCATTACTCCATGGGTAGTGCAAAGCGAGCCATTCACAAGCGAACGTCGATACTTCTTTCTTATTTGTTGGTGTTCAGGCGTGGTTTCCGGAAAATCAAGAACCTGGTGTTGTGTTGAAGGTTTCGGTTTCTGAATGACATGTGAGGATGCCAAGGGGCGCCGCTCTGGCATCCAGGATTTCAAGACGACTGTAAATAAAATCAGTGTGTGTTGGGTAACCGTGGAGTGCGGTTGTTGTTCCTTCCTTCAGCGCTGCGCGCCAGCCCGCGTGTTCGGACTGGTCGGCGTCCCCGCCGGCCGCGTACGTCTCCGTCAGCCGTGTTCTTCTTCTGCTTCGTCGGGACCAGCCAGCCCCCAACACAGCAATGCGACGAGGACGTGTAAGAACCCACTCAGTTCTCTGTGTTCATACTAACCTTAGACGCTCTTTGTTCCCAGCAAGGTGGCTACTGCGTGCTGCGTCGCTTCATTCCTTCTTCATTCAGCTACGCCGTTTCTGTCGTCTTCTTCAAACAGTGTACTGGCGTCATTTTCTTCTCGTCTGCACCTCTCCATTCTTCTTGCTTGAAATGGCGTCTCCTATTCCACCTCCCCTATTTCTTCATTTGCCCAAAGACCCGCCACTTCCGTGGGCGGAGTGGAAATTTGTGTTTCAGGCCTACGCAGACGCGGCCGGGGATGACGCCAGCAAGCCCGAGCGTCGCAAGGCCCTGCTGCTCAACGCGTTGGGCCCTGCCGGGTTAAAGCTCTTCTATACTTTTGAAGCCACCAACGCGTCGCCGACGCCAACGTCGGGCGATGCCTTAAAGAATGCTGTTGCTCTTTTCGATGAGCATTTTAAAGATGTCTCGTGCGAATATCTCGCACGCGTAAAATTCCAAGAAAGGCGACAATTGCCTGGCGAGCCAGTCGCCGAGTTCATTACTTCTCTTCGAACGCTCGCCGCGTCGTGCGGCTTCGGCGTGCTCGAAGACAATATGATCCGCCATCAGCTTTTTACCGGGGTAGCCTCGCAAAACGTCCGCTGCCGCATGCTTCAAAAAGGCTCCTCGATTTCATTATCCGAAGCCCTCTCGATTGCGCGAGAGGACGAGCTTATTCGCTCCCAGTTGGAGCGGTTCGCTCCGCATTCAGTGCAGCAACTTTTTGCTGCGGGAGCCAAGGCGGCGGCTCTTCGTTTCACGGGACGCGCCAATATGGCAACCCTTCATCTTTGTCTCGGCGCGGCGGCCAACATGGATGCCCGCCTGCACAGTCCTTCCGTGGCGGCCAACATGGCAGCCTCTCTGCGTCGTGGGGGCGAGGAAGACGGCAATATGGCGACCCCATCCCACCAAATTCTGGTTTTCAGGAACAGCACCGAGCTCCAAACTCGCGTTCGCAATTTTCTTCTTCAAGCGCAACCGCGCATGGCTTTCGTTGCGGATCGGCTCGGCATTTAGCCAATTTTGCGCAATGTCCCGCGAGAAACCGCACTTGTCTTGCGTGCGGAAAAATCGAACATTTTAAATTCGTATGCAATTCCCGTCCAGCAAATCTTCTTGGACCAGTTTCTTCGTCCGCTCCTTCGAGCACTGCACAGACCAATACGGTCACTGTTTTAAATGTGGGTGGCCTCCACACTACGTCCGAGCCCAGCATCGTAGTTTCAGTGGGCCATGTGCCCTTGTCATTTCTCGTGGACGCTGGTGCCTCGGTCTCTTTAATCAGTGCCGCTGACTTTCATAGTCATTTTTCCAACATTCGGCTTTTGCCTTCACACGTCGTTCTGCAAACATATTCCAAGGAAACGATTAATAATTTAGGTCAATTCACGGCTCAGGTCTCCTATCGCAGTCGCACTGCTTCCATTACTTTTTATGTAACTGCCAATGGCAGCTCGCTTTTGGGACGTGATGCCATCAGGGCTTTGTCCATCAACATCGTCGGTGCGTCAATGACGTGTGCTCAAGTCGACGTCCAAGATGATCTTCCGGCTAA